CCTAACCACCCTAACCACCCTAACCACCCTAACCACCCTAACCACCCTAACCACCCTAACCACCCTAACCACCCTAACCACCCTAACCACCCTAACCACCCTAACCACCCTAACCACCCTAACCACCCTAACCACCCTAACCCTAACCACCCTAACCACCCTAACCACCCTAAAGACGCCTAGCTATAGCTAGCTAACTAGTTTACTTAGCTAACTAGCTTAGCTAGCTATAGCTAGGCGTCTTTACTAGAATATATGATTTTTATTACAATATCTTTATTATTAAACTACTATAGTTCTAGTCTAATCTTTTAGAGTAGTTACTCTAGGGTAATTAGGGTTCAATAATCTTATCTCTCTTATTAAAGATAAGATAAGATAGCTAAAAAGGGGATAGCCTACCCGCAGCGACTAGCTTTGTCATCCCCTATCAAAACTGAATTCCCTAATTCTAAATCAGCTAGGGTCTTACTCTTATACTAGTATATTGTAGAATATTATTTGATATTACAATAATTTGGGCTTTAATTACCAATTTTAAAAAAACCCCGATAAGAATATCTCAAAAATTAGAGATTTGGGAGGGGCTGTTGGGTTTGACCCACTTTTTCTAAAGACCCACTCAACACCCCCCCCCTTGCTAAGACTTGTTAATGCGGAACAGGGGGGGGGGGTGTTGGGCCCGACTATAGTTAGGTATATATTATAGTTACCCCTATGGGTTAGGGATATTATCCCTATAAAAATACTTCTTATAGACCCCTTACACTAATCTATACCAGATTATAATTAAATTAGAGTCTAATTATAACACTTTATATAATACAAAAAACTAAGCAATTTTAATTAAACTAGAAATCTTAGATAAATAATCCTTTATCTTATCCTACCTATATAACTTCTATCCTAATATAGCTAATATATAAATAAATATATATCTATACTTATAGTACTAGATCTTCTAATATAATAAATTAATATAAAAATCTATAATTATATACTCTAACAACTATAACTTATATAGCTTCTTATCTATATTTATAGAGTCTAGGCTAGATAGGCCCCTAGCCTATATACAATACTATACAATCTCCTATAATCGCTACTACTATAATATAAACTTATATAAGGAACTCTCCTACTTATAAGACTACTATATCTATACAAAAAATATTAAAATCTACTACTATAACTTAATATAATCCTTAATCTCCACCTCTTTCATATACACTAATAATAACTTATATAGAGAATCAGCCTTCTATATATATATAGTCTTAATCTATACTAAAAAACTACTTACCTAGGTAATCTACTAGCTTACTATAGCCAATTACTCTATAGTCTACTAAATAGCCTACGCCACACCCTTAGGACCCTCTATATCCTCGTCTAGCTATTCTATAGACTAGACTAATAGAGTAGATAAGATACCCTATAAATACTAGACCTACCCTATATAATTTAACTATAGGATAGCCTTATTAAATTCACTAGCCTAGATAATAGTCTATTAGCTATAGGCCTACTCTACTTAGAACACTTATATATACTAAACTAACTACTTAATAGTATTAGCTAGTAAGATAATAGACATAGTATAGCTAATAAGCTAGTAGATCTAGATAAAATAAGAACTAGCTCTATACTTAAAAATCCACTAGTATAATATAGACTAGGAATTACTATTAATCTCTATCTTAATATATACAATCTTAGATAGTTTAGAATAACCTCAATAGCTATTAGGGGACTACCTATAGATCTATTACTAATAGACTTATAATAACTAGACTATACAATAAATATATTTCTTATATTATAAATATAATAAACTATTATAGTATACTAGTAATCCTAGGATAGATTTATTAATCTAGATAGATCAATAGGTAATATTAGATTAGTTGTTAATATAGTCCTATTACTAAATATATTACTTAATATATTATACTCTTATATAGAGTATCTAGTAGTTAGTACTAGTTAAATAAATAATAATATTATCCCTTTATATAATATATTTATATTTCTAATATACTATAATCTAAAACTCGGAATTAATAGAAAATAACTTACTAGTATTAGGGTTACTAGGGATAGGATACAATATACTAAAAATAGAAATATATATTATAATAAATCTATATATAATCTATATAACTAGAAAACTAGATTACTGGAACTTAGTTAAACCACTTCAAAAAAATACTATAATATTAATTGAAATAAAATAAACCAACCCCTAAATTTTCAACTAGAATAATCCTTATAATTATCTATACTCTATTAGATCTATAGTAGTAGTATTTATACAATAATATATTACAGTCGTGTAAGATCCGTATCCTATCAAAAAAACTTACTGATTTTAAACCCCTATAACTATCTTTTCTAATACTTAGAATACTTTTAAATTTGGTTAGATAATAAAGTAGGGAGTACTTAAAAATATACTAAAATATAAGCCCCGTACAAGCCTAAAATATAAATATAATAGACTTAGGTATATTAAATATAATAGACCCTAACCCACTTTTATTTCCCTATACTTAAGAAATCTACCCTAATTATAATAATATCCATTATAATTACCCCTATAGATTAGGAGGTACTTAAAAATATACTAAAATATAAGCCCCGTATAAGCCTAAAATATAAATATAATAGAATTGGGTATATTAAATGTAATAGACCCCGACCCACTTTTATTTCCCTATACTTAAGAAATCTACCCTAATTGTAATGGTGTCTATTACAATTACCCCTATAGGTTAGATTTTTTTAATAATATCCTACTATACTAGCTTATCTAGAATAGTTTCTTACTTAGTCCTTTAGATAGAAAAATAGTAAGAGCTATATTAGGAGGTAAAGATATATTAATAATTAACTTAGTAGGAGTATTAGGTAAATAAGTTAGTAGTTAAGTATATAGAGATTATAGAGATATTATTATTAGATAAGAATAGATATTTAGTATATAAATACTATTTAAAAGAGTTAGCTATCTAGCTAATATAGTAATATATAGTATTCTAGATATAAAGAAGGCTATTATTATAATAATAAATTCCTATAATTAGAGTTTATATAGAGAAAGAAAGATCTAATTTCTAGATATTTAGTTTAATTAGCTACTTAGAATAAATAGTCTTTTAGATAGAATAAGCTATCTTTTTAAGAAGTTAATATAGAGAATAGGTAAGATAGTAGATAATTTATTATAGTTATATACTAATTTTATATTTTTAGTATATAATAATTAGAAATTTAGGGATAAGTTAGAAGTATTTATTAGTAGTAGAATCTATTAAATTAACTATAATATCTAATTTATATAGAAAAAAAATTATATAAAGATAGAGATAAGTATATAAATAAGAAAGATAATTATAGTAGTTATATAAATTATAAAAAAAAAAATAATATTATAAAGAGAAAGAAATAAAGAGAAATAAATATATATTTTATAGATCCTTTATTATTTTTTAAAATATTAGTAATTAAGATAGGCAACTGACTATATCCTATTAAAATAAATTCCTAAAACTGACTATTTTCAAAATACTTATATAAACTAATCTTTATATTAGAAAGTCTAGGATTAAAATAGAGGAAATAGAAATAGTTAACTTAGAACTTCTGAAAGTTTAAGTTTTCTCGTACGATTATTTTGAAATATAATAAACTTATGAAAACAAAGTGTAATAAACTCTGTCCCTACTTTTTTTTGTTAGTAAAAAAAGTTAGGGTAAGGTATAATAAACTTTATTATACCGACCCTCTTAGGATAGGGTATCTATAGTAATACTTCTAGATCTACTAATACTTTTAGTTATAAGATTATTAGTAATTTCCCTAATCTAATCTAGGACTAATTCAATCTTAGATTATCTAATAATAAGAAGAGGAGATATAGTAGGCTTAGATTAAATACTATTATAAGAGAATATAGGGTTTTAGTATATAGAGAGTACTATTATTAATCCTTAGGTAGTTAAAAGAGAAGAATTAGAATTATAATAGTTACTAAGTTATTAAGCTAGAGACCTATAACTAAATAAAAATATCGGATAATAGAGATTAAATAGAATAGTCAATATATAGAACTAATTCTTATAGAATAAGAATCGTAGCTATTATTTATATATTTTAATATTACTAGAGCTTACTAGGGCTTAGGATAATTATATATTAATAGATATATTATAGTAGATTCACCCGCGGAGCAGCTATGAATCGTACTTGAATCGTACCCGAAGGGATTCAGGAATCCCATAACACTATAGATTAGGTAGTAATATTATCCCTTTGTATAGTATACTTACACTTATAGTAAATCACTATATTAAACTTAGAATTAGTAGAAAAAAACTTACTAACATTAGGACTACTAGGGATAGTCTACAATATACTAAAAATAGAAATATATATCTAGGGATAATTATATAAAATCTATATAATAGTAATACTATATAAACAAAACTTAGTTAATTAGCCTAAAAAAAAAACTAGAATATAAACTAGAATATAGTAAATCAACCCTTAAATTTTTAGTTATCTAAACTATATAATTATCTATACCCTATTAAATATTTAGTAGTAGTATTTATATAGTAATATATTACAGTCAGGCAGGCTCTCCACCCTATTAAAAAAACCCCCTAATTTTAAACCCCTACAACTACTCTTTCCATTACTCTAAATAATCTAAAATTAAAATAGAAGATACTTGAAATATAAATATAAAACATATAAAACTCTAAGCCTTGTACAAGTCCGAAATATAATTATAGTCTACTGCTGAATATTTAATATAATGAACCCCAACCCACTTTTATTTCCCTATACTTAAGCACCCTACCCTAAATATAATCTAGTAGATTACAATTACCCCTATGGGTTAGATCCACTAGTTCTGCTCGGCCAGGCGATCTAGGTAAAACTGCACGACATCCTTAACTCCATCCTCAAACGAGCGGAAATTGAAGCCTTCCAGAGCTTTCTCAGTCCCACTCGAATCATATGAAATGGGCAGCGTGGGTAGAATAGCACGCGTGAGCACTCCATCAGCAATCTCCTTGGGAAAGTTCTTCTCCACAAGAGCCCACGAGTCATCATAGTTGCACAATTTACAGGCCCCGAAGTTACTAACAGACTCCGTGCTAGACTCTAGCTTCAAAACCCTCAAGTAGATCTCCGCCAAGTCATCAATGTGGACATAGCCACCGTGGATCGGAGCCGGGGAATCGACTCCTGTCAAGCTGCGCAGCAAGATTCCAGGCGAGCTCCTCTTTTCAACGGCCGCTTTGGCATCCAGCACCAATTCATCACGGCCAAAGATATACCCGGGCACGATGACAGAAACGGAAAAGTGTGGCTTCTTTTCCTTGACGAATGTGTCAATGTTATTAATCTCGGTAATCTTGCCCAGGATGTAGGCTTCGAACTCGTTGCTGAAGGTCTCGGGGACACCTGGGAGCTGGAATCGAGAGTTTGCGGTAACTGTGACGGTGGGATCAGGCATGGGGGCCATGTTCGCGACGATGGATGAAGTTACGAGCACGCGTTTAATAGTGGGGACCTTTGCGGCTGAGGCGAGCAGATTCTCGATGGCCAATACTGTAGGCTTCCACACTTGTTCGAGAGGGTTGCATCCGGGGACTGGAACGGGTGATCCAGCGTGGATCACATATGTGACTTCTTGAAGGACTTCGTCAAAGGCGCCCGGTACAACGCTGTCGGGGACGATCTTGTATGTCAATCGCCCACCCAGTGTGGGCTGGAGCTTTTGAATGACTGGGTTGGAAAAGACTGTCTGGGCTTTTTCCTCGGAGCGTACGGCAATGCGGACGTCGAAGTCGCTCTTCTTGAGAAGCTCTTGGAGGACTCTGAAGCCGACCAGTCCGGTCGCGCCGGTAAGAAGGACGAGAGGAGCCATATTTGGAGGTAGAATGCGAGGACAAATAATTGAGAGTGGAGCTTGTAGTCAAACGCCAAGTGACGATAGATCTTAGGGGCAGGAAAAGAGGGCGGAGGAATATTTATAGGTGTACGCGGGGAGGCTCGGAGACATTTGAACAAAGAAATGTCTGCGCTGCAGTAAGTACATGTCGAACTCCGCAGGAGAAGATTACCACCTTTCCTATTACAGATTGATGATTTAGCGCAGGCTTAGATCCTATATTACTGTTTTTGTATATAAAGCGCACGTAAGCGTACGTATGGGCTATATAACTAGCCTATACGAACCAGGCAAGATCGCTCAACTCGATCGAGCACCTAGATAGAATAACCCCTCTCAAAAAAAATGTTATCCAGCTGTACTAGTTCATACGCGTTCGCCCCTCTCCGACAGTACATTATCTGCTCAAAGTTTCCGTCTTGTTCGGTACATAACCATACATTACGCAAACCCATGGACCTTGCACTTCAAAGGTTCCCCACTCGTAACCTCAGCCCCCAATATAACATATGTAGTGTGGCACTTAATCGCTGGATTAGTTCGAGCGTTATCTTGTAAGTGTGCTGGACTATAAACTTTCCCCATGCACTAATTTTGATTAAATCTTTGACTTGGTCTTTTTTTCTGCCTTCTATGTCTAGCTCTTCGTGGGCACGGACACTTTCCGATGATCCTCTTTTTGGGAGAGTCCCGAGATCTCCGGCCATGGCTACGTGGCGTTCCACCTAAGGGATGAAGGAAGAAATTAAGCCAAAAAAAAGTAACACGGGAAACCTGCAGGGATATACTTACAGGGGTAAAGGATCGATACGGTTCTGATAGGCTTGTGGTCGAAGCTCATATCTCGGGACGGCCCCATGTAGTGGAGTCTGGCCTATTCGCCCCACCCGAATGGAGCGAAAGTCACCAAACGAAACAAGGCACTGCAGTTATGTATAGGAAGTTGGGGGCGGCCCCCAAGCTGATCAGCAAGACGGCCAATCCTCTTGTTCGTGTGTCTGTGGGAGGCCAAAGTTTTGTGGGCCAAACAATACCCCTGTTATATCAACCACACTGTACTCCGTGTGTACAGAAGACAGTCTAAGCACATCTTCCTGTCTCGTACTACTCCGTATGTATATCAGAATATTTACAGAACAAGCTAGTTCTCATTTTTTTGGTGCGCCTGTAGGTTCAGCTAATTGCTACTCGATTACCGTCTTCCAATGTTTGACTTTCCCATTCTAGCGTTGTGGTAGGTAAGTATAGACATCTACTAGTATTTACATGAGAAACCTGTCTATGTTCTGCCTATGTTTCTGCCTATGTTGCTACCTCTCTCTCACCCTCTCTCTCGCCCTCTCTCCTAAATAAATCGAATGGACTTTACTTTTACGCTTCACCTCTCGCCTCCGTAGATCACAGCACAGCTTTCCCCAAAAGGTTGTGGCACTGTGGGGGGCCTCAGAACATCGATAATAATGGGAAAGAATACCCTGCACCTCGATACATCATCATACATAATAATTTAGGGACAGTTTGTAAACCAACCCAACTGCGTACGGTCCGTGCAATGCAACCCCCAGATATCGTAAACCATTTTATTGCTCTACTTCTCTACTTCTCTACTTATTCCTTATTACATTCAGCGATTCTTTCTCATCTGTCCCATTTATGTGTCACTTCTATCGGGATACTCACCATTTCCCCCTCCTTTTGGTGCACCAAGACCAAAGAACTTTTCGATCACTTTGACTATGAAGGAAATTAGTAGTAGTGGTGTTGCCAACCTTGGCGCCGCTATCTCAATGCTAATCTTATCAGTAGTTGTAATAGTACTTCGACTTTTCTTCTGATTGCAGGCTAGACGAAAGCCTACATTATCAGATGCATTCATCGGGCTGGCTTTAGCATTTTCGATTGTCGATTATGCTCTCCTTATTAATTATGTATCTTACTAGTAACGCGGTTGCTTTAAGTTCAAGTACTGAATGCTATAGATGACTGACATCCGGATGTAAATCCTCTAGATGTTTATAACGGAGTGGGGCCTAGGACTTTTAGCCTACTGTAAATTCTTGCAGACCTATAGATAGGATTTCTAGTGTAGGGAAAGGACATGATGAAGGTGAAATATAAATAAATTTGTAGATGGAATTAAACGATCTAATATCACTATTCTTTATCTGCCTAACCCTTTGATGTCAACCTTAATAGAGACAGAAGTACTTTTAATAAGAATAATTAGCTAAGAAGCCATTTTTAGCGCCTTAATAGACTAGGGCCTAATAGGTTTCTAGAAGCTAAGAAATAAGTTAGTATAACAAAAGGTAATAGATCTATAGTCTAAGAGTATTTAAAATAACTATAGTACACACTAGGACTAGGCTATACCTATAGCGGCCACAGCAGGATAGTATATATCTAGAGTAATGTTATAGTGGTATTAAGTTTGGTAGATAGATGGCCAAAAACGGCATCACTAACAGCCAGAAATGGTAGTCTTTCTGCTGTTATCTACTTTATACTAGTCAATCTTTATTAAAAGGACTTTAAGATTAAAATAGAAGTAAAAGAAATAGTGAACTTAGAACTTCTAAAAGTTTTACCTTTCTTATATAATTATTTTTAAATATAATTAATTTATAAAAATAAAGTATAGTAAACTTTATCCCTACTTTTTTTATTAGTAAAAAAGGTTAGGGTAAAGTATAGTAAACTTTACTATACTGACCCTCTTAGGATAGGGTATTTACTCCAGGGTAATTAGAGTAAAAAAATCTTATCTATCTTATTTTATCTTTAATAAGATATTCTAAAGAGGAATAGCCTATCTACGGCCATTGGCTTTGTTATTCCCTATCAAAACTGAAATTCCTTAAATATAAACTAGCTGGGGTCTTACCTTGAAAATTATATATCTTAGAATACTTTTTTATAATATAATAGATTATAATCTAATTTTAAAACTTCTAAAAATAGTAATTATAATATCTCAAAGATTAGAGATTTAGGAGGGTCTATCTTAGATCTACTTATTCTAGAGACCTACTTGGATAGATGTCAATATAGCCCTAGGCTGCTCTAAATAGGTTGAGCCTAAGCCTGTCTATAGGTAGATATTAGGTAGGTTTCCTTTATTCGATAGGCTACTATAGGCCGGTCTCTCTACCTAGTTAGGCAGAACAGACGCCCGGCGGGTGGTTGAATAGTATAAATAATTAATTATAAAAATAGTAATATACTAACTACTTATCTAAAAGTATGATTCTTATAGCTTATATAACTATAATATAGTTATTCTTTAGCTATATAGTAATTAAATTATTAAGATTAAGTAATAAAGAAAGACAAATAAAGTATATCATAATTAATAAAAGTATAAAAAATAGTCGATTTATATATCTTAGCAAATTTAAATTAGGAAATTTATATACTAGATGGGATATAACAGGCCGCCCAGGGGGGCCCTATATAGGTATACTGGGCGGGCTTAATATCTATCTACCTGCCCGGCAGGCTGATTTAGATAGGCTACAGGCGGCCTCCTTAGGCCTATAGGTGGGCTGTGTTAAGGCCTATACTCAGACCCCCCTCTAGACCTAGTACTTACCTACCCCGCGGGTCTAAGATCAGGAATCTCTATCTGTATCTTAGAGGATTAGGGTCTAACCTTACTAAACCTAACCCTAACCCTCTAAGGGTCCCTTAAGGGTTACCTATATTGATCTTTATCAACCCTTAAAAGCTATACCTTACCTATTTAAGATATACTTTACCCTATTAAGTTAAGTTACTAAACTATTTAATATCTAAAATTAATAAAAATAGGACTTTTTTAGCTAAAATAAATTATATAAGGACCTTAAGGGTTATCTATAGATAACCCTCTAAGGGTCTAATCTCTAGATATAAGACCCTTAAGATCAATAAATCAGGTGCTTATCTACTTATAGTATAAGTAGGATAGAGGGTCTAGAGGGTTACCTATAGGTAAGTACTAGGTCTACCCTCCTCCCTCTTACTAAGACTTCTTAATGTAGAGACCCCTTCCCGGATCTAGGCCTAACTATAGTTAACAAAGATAGTAGAGGTACTATATATATATTAACTCCATGTATATATAAGCTTTATAGGCTTAAGAAAAAGTGGATACTTTGGTATTATTAATAGACCTATGGCTATAGTCAAAGTCTATATTTTATACTTATCGGCCCACTTTTAAGTATCTTCATATAGTATACTACTCTATAGTACCTGACAATTATTATATCAATTTTTAGATCCAAATTTTAGAATAATATAGGTTGCTTCCTCAATAGTAAAGTAGTATCAAAAGATTTTTATAATTAATACCTATACTAAGCTCTCATCAGAGAGCCACTTAGTAAGATCTCCTTCACTTTATATTAGACTTTTTTAAAATGCTAGCTTAGTCCACTAGTAAGAGGGATAGTATTTTTATAATTCAGTATTAATTTAAATATTAGTAATTGGCGGACTATTTTAGTATCCAGGTTTTCTACTTTAGAGTAAGAAGTAGTAGTACTTATAGTACCTTATTCAAATAGCTTAAAACTAATCTAAGCTACTTAGTGGTTATAGATACCTAATAATTAGCTAATAGTTTAATCTAAAACCTAGACCTAGTACTTACTTACTCTATAGGTCTAAAATTAGGAATCTCTATCTATATCTTAGAGGATTAAGATCTAATCTTACTAATTCTAATCCTAACCCTAATCCTCTAAGAGTCCTTTAAGAATTATCTATATTAATCTTTATTAATCCTTAAATATATAATTTCTCTATATCTTTTCTATTTTAGATATATAAATTTAATAATTTAGCTTTTTAAAATACTATTATTTATAGCTATTCTAGTATATCTCTAAATTCTGCTTATCTTTTATTATAAAGGCTTTTAAAATATAAAGAAATTAAATTATAAGTTAATATTTTATATATTATTATCTTAGGTTTCTTAGTATTAACTA